TTGATTTGTTCACACCAAGCTGCTTGCCTATTGCAGATTCAGTCTTCCCAGCCTGGTGCAGGTCTACAATTTTGTTTCTGGTGTCCTTCGACAGCTCTTCGGTCTTCACCATAGTGGAGTTTGGAGTGTGACTGTTTGAGGTTGTGGACAGGTGTCTTTTATACTGATAGCAAGTTCAAACAGGTGCCATTGATACAGGTAATGAGTGCAGGACAGAGGAGCCTCCTAAAGAAGAAGGTCCAGGTCTGTGAGAGCCACAAATCTTGCTTGTTTATAGGTGACCAAATACTTATTTTCCACCATAATTTGCAAATAAATTCTTTCCAGATCAGCCAATGAGATTGTCTGGATTTGTTTTCTCATTTTGTCTCTCATAGTTGAGGTCTCCCTATGATGCCAATTACAGGCCTCTCTCATCTTTGTAAGTGGGAGAACTTGCACCATTGGTGGGGACTAAATACTTTTTTGCCCCACTGTATCTCCAGACACCAGCATCCTCTCCGATCCTCCCAGGACCTCCTACCTCCCTCATCGCTCCTCCTCCCAGGACCTCCTACCTCCCTCATCGCCTCCTCCAGGACCTCCTACCTCCCTCATCGCCTCCTCCCAGGACCTCCTACCTCCCTCATCGCCTCCTCCCAGGACCTCCTACCTCCCTCATCACCTCCTCCCAAGACCTTCTACACTTCCTTCATCACCTCCTCCCAGGACCTCCTACCTCCCTCATCACCTCCTCCCAAGACCTTCTACACTTCCCTCATCACCTCCTCCCAAGACCTTCTACACTTCCCTCATCACCTCCTCCCAGGACCTCCTACCTCCATCATCACCTCCTCCCAGGACCTCCTACCTCCCTCATTGCCTCCTCCCAGGACTTCCTCCTACCTCCCTCATCAGCTCCTCCCAGGACCTTCTACACTTCCCTCATCACCTTCTCCCAGGACCTCCTACCTCCTTGATCACCTCCTCCCCAGACCTTCTACACTTCCCTCATCACCTCCTCCCAGGACCTCCTACCTCCATCATCACCTCCTCCCAGGACCTCCTACCTCCCTCATCGCCTCCTCCCAGGACTTCCTACCACCCTCATCAGCTCCTCCCAGGACCTTCTACACTTCCCTCATCACCTTCTCCCAGGACCTCCTACCTCCCTCATCACCTCCTTCCAAGACCTTCTACACTTCCCTCTTCACCTCCTCTCCCCAGGACTTTCCTACCTCCCCTCATCATCTTCTCCCAGGACCTCCTACCTCCCTCATCACCTCCTTCCAGGAGCTCCTACCTCCCTCATCACCTCCTTCCAGGACCTCCTACCTCCCTCATCACCTCCTCCCAAGTTCTTCTACACTTCCCTCATCACCTTCTCCCAGGACCTCCCTCCTACCTCCTATGATCACCTCCTCCCCAGACCTTCTACACTTCCCCTCATCACCTTCTCCCAGGACCTCCTACCTCCCTCATCACCTCCTCCCAGGACCTCCTACCTCCCTCATCACCTCCTTCCAAGACCTTCTACACTTCCCTCATCACCTCCTCCCAGGACCTCCTACCTCCCTCATCATCTCCTCCCAGGACCTCCTACCTCCCTCATCACCTCCTACCAGGACCTCCTTCCACCATCTCCTACCAGGACCTCCTCCCTCCCTCATCACCTCCTACAAGGACCCCATTCCTCCCTCCCTCATCATCGCTTTCCAGCACCTCCTCCCTTCCTCATCACCTCCTCCCAGGCCCTCATACCTCCCTCATCACCTCCTCCCAGGATCTGCTACACTTCCCCTCATCACCTCCCAGGACCTCCTACCTCTCTCATCACATCCTCACAGGACCTCCTTTCTCCCTCATCACTTCCTCCCTGGACCTCCTACCCTCCCTCATCCCCCCCCAGGACCTGCTACACTTACTTCATCACCTCCTCCCAGGACCTCCTCCCTCCCTCATCACCTCCTCCCAGGACCCCTCCTCCCTCCCTCATCACCTCCTCCACCCCAGGACCTCCTTGCACCATCTCCGACCAGGACCTCCTCCCTCCCTCATCACCTCCTACAAGGACCTCCTCCCCCCCCCTCATCACCTCCTCCCAGGACCTCCTACCTCCCTCATCACCTCCTCCCAGGACCTCCTACCTCCCTCATCAACCTCCTTCCAAGACCTTCTACACTTCCCTCACCTCCTCCCAGGACCTCCTACCTTCCTTATCATCTCCATCCCAGGACTTCCTTCCAGCACCTCCTCCCTCCCTCATCACCTCCTTCCAGCGCCTCCTACCTACCCTCATCTCATCCTCCCAGGACCTCCTACCTCCCTCTCACCTCCTACAAGGTCCTCCTTCCTTCCTCATTACCTCCTCCCAGGACCTCCTACCTCCTCATCACTTCTTACCAGGACCTCCTACCTCCCTCATCACCTTCTCCCAGGACTTCCTCCCTCCCTCAACATTGCTTTCCCCACCTCTTCCCTCCCTCCCTCATCACCTCCTCCCAGGACCTTCTACACTTCCCTCATCACCTCCCCAGGACCTCATACCTCCCTCATCACATCCTCCCAGGACCTCCTACCTCCCTCATCACCTCCTACCTCCCACCATCACCTCCTACCAGGACCTCCTCCCTCCCTCCCCTCATCACCTCCTACCAGGACCTCCTCCCTCCCTCCCCTCATCACCTCCTACCAGGACCTCCTCCCCCCTCATCACCTCCTCCCAGGACCTCCTACCTCCCTCATCGCCTCCTCCCCAGGACCTCCTACTACCTCCCTCATCGCCTCCTTCCTTCCAGGACCCTCCTACCCCCTCATCGCCTCCTTCCAGGACCTCCTTCCTCATCACCACCCCTTCCTCCCTCATCGCCTCCCCAGGACCTCCTACATCCCAGTACCTCCTACCTCCCATCATCACCTCCTCCCAGGACTTCCTAAGTTCCTTTTCACCTCCTCCCCCAGGACCACCTTCCTCCCTCATCACTTCCTACGTCCCACATCACCTCGTCCCAGGACCTCCTATGTCCCTCATCACCTCCTACGTCCCTCATCACCTCATCCAAGGACCTCCTACCCCCTCATCACCTCCTTGTAGCACCTCCTCCCTCCCCTCATCCAACCTCCTTCCAGGACCTCCTACATCCCTCATCAGCACCTTCCTCCCAAGACCTCCTACCCTCCCTCTTCGCCTCCTCCCAGGACCTCCTACATCCCTCATACCTCCTTCCAGGACCTCCTTCCCTCCCCTCATCCACCTCCTTCCCAGGACCTCCCCCCTCCCTCCCCCACCTCCTCCCAGGACCTCCTTCCCCCCCCTCCCATCCGCCTCCTCCCAGGTCCTCCTACATCAACCAGTACCCCTACCTCCCTCATCCCCTCCTCCCAGGACTTCCTAACCTCCCCCCTTATCACCTCCTCCCAGGACCTCCTTCCTCCCTCATCACCTCCTTCCAGGACCTCCTAACCTCCCTCATCACCTCCTCCCAAGTTCTTCTACCTTCCCTCATCACCTTCTCCCAGGACCCTCCTACCTCCCCCATCACCTCCTCCCAGGACCTCCTACCTCCCTCATCACCTCCTTCCCTCCCTTCCCCACTTCCCTCATCATCTCCTCCCAGGACTCTTCCTTCCCCACCTCCCCTCCTCCCTCCCTCATCACCTCCTCCCAGGACCTCCTACCTCCCTCATCACCTCCTACCAGGACCTCCTTCCACCATTTCCTACCCCTCCCTCCTCCTCCCTCATCACCTCCTACAAGGACCTCCCCCTCCCTCATCATCGCTCTCCAGCACCTCCTACCTCCCTCATCACCTCCCCCCCAGACCTCCTCCCTCCCTCCATCACCTCCTCCCAGGCCCTCCTACCTCCCTCATCACCTCCTCCCAGGATCTGCTACACTTCCCTCATCACCTCCCAGGACCTCCTCCTACCTCCCTCATCACATCCTCACAGGACCTCCTTTGTCCCCTCATCACTTCCTCCCTGGACCTCCTACCTCCCTCATCACCTCCCCCAGGACCTGCTACACTTACCTCATCACCTCCTCCCAGGACCTCTCCTCCCTCCCTCATCACCTCCTCCCAGGACCTCCTCCCTCCCTCCCTCCCTCCCCTTTCCCTCATCACCTCCTCCCAGGAGCTCCTTGCACCATCTCCGACCAGGACCTCCTCCCTCCCTCAATCACCTCCTACAAGGACCCCCTCCCTCCCTCATCACCTCCTACAAGGACCTCCTCCCTCATCATCACTTTCCAGCACCTCCCACATCACCTCCTACCCCCTCATCACCTCCTACAAGGATCTCCTACTTCCCTCATCTCCTCATACAAGGACCTCCTCACCCCGTACCTCCCTCATCACCTCCTACAAGGACCTCCTCCCTCCATCACCTCCTTCCAGCGCCTTCTACCTCCCTCATCACCTCCTCCCAGGACCTCCTCCCCCCTCATCTCCTCCTACCCAGGTCCTCCTCTCTCCCTCATCTCCTCCTACAAGGATCTCCTACTTCCCTCATCTCCTCCTACAAGGACCTCCTCACCTCGTACCTTCCTCATCACCTCCTACAAGGACCTCCTCCCTCATCAGCTCCTTCCAGTGCCTCCTACCTCCCTCATCACCTCCTCCCAGTCCCTACCCCCTCCAACATCCCTCATCACCTCCTTGAAGCACCTCATACGTCCCTCATCACCTCCTTCCAAGACCTCCTACTTCCTTCATCACCTTCTCTTAGGAATTTCCACTTACCCTCATCACCTTCTTCCAAGACCTTCCACTTCCCCTCATGACATCCTCCCAGGACCTTCTTCCTCCCTCATTGCCTCCTCCCAGGACCTTCCACTTTGCTCATCTCCTCCTCCCAGGACCTCCTACCTCCATCATCACCTCCTCCTTGGAATTTCCACTTACCTCATCACCTTCTTCCAAGACCTTCCACTTCCCTCATGACATCCTCCCAGGACCTTCTTCCTCCCTCATCGCTTCCTCCCAGGACCTTCCACTTTGCTCATCTCCTCCTCCCAGGACCTCCTACCTCCCTCATCACCTCCTCCTCGGAATTCCACTTACCCTCATCACCTTCTTCCAAGACCTTCCTTCTACACTTCCCTCATGACACTCCTCCCAGGACCCCTTCCTCCCTCATCCTCCTCCTACCAGGACCTTCTACCTCCCTCGTCACCACCTCCAAAGACCTTCTACCTCCCAAGTCACCTCTCCCCAGCACTTTGTACTTCCTTTGTGACTTCCTTCCTCCCTCTGTCACATGCTTCCAGAACCTCCTACCTCTCTCATCATGCCCCCATCAATCAGGGACCTCCTACCTCGCCCTCTTCACGTCCTGTGAGAAACGTTTACCCCTCATCACCTCCCGGGACCTTTTACCTCCCTTGTCACCTCCTTCCAGGACATTCACTTCCTCAGTAACTTCCCTGTTAGAACCCTCTGCCTCCCTTTTCACATGCTCCCAGGACAATCTACTTTTCTTGTCACCTCCCCTCCAAGACCTCCTTCCCTCCTCATTCAGTCTGGATTTTGCCTACAGCACTCCACAGAAATTGCTCTCCTAAAACTCACAAACGACTTGCTAACCCTCTAAAACCCCTCCACTGACCTCCATTCAGTGTCCTCCACCCCTCTCTCTGCCAATCCCTCCACTGGCCTCCATTCAATGTCCTCCGACCCTCTCTGCCAATCCCTCCACTGGCCTCCATTCAATGTCCTCCACCCCCTCTCTGCCAATCCCTCCACTGGCCTCCATTCAGTGTCCTCCACCCCTCTCTGCCAATCCCTCCACTGACCTCCATTCAGTGTCCTCCACCCCTCTCTGCCCAATCCCTCCACTGGCCTCCATTCAATGTCCTCCACCCTCTCCTGCCAATCCCTCCACTGGCCTCCACTCAGTGTCCTCCACCCCTCTCTGCCAATCCCTCCACCGGGCCTCCATTCAGTGTCCTCCACCCCTCTCTGCCAATCCCTCCACTGGCCTCCATTCAATGTCCTCCACCCCTCTCTGCCAATCCCTCCACTGACCTCCATTCAGTGTCCTCCACCACTCTCTGCCAATCCCTCCACTGGCCTCCATTCAATGTCCTCCACCCCTCTCTGCCAATCCCCTCCACTGACCTCCATTCAGTGTCCTCCACCCCTCTCTGCCAATCCCTCCACTGGCCTCCATTCAATGTCCCCCTCCACCCCCTCTCTGCCAATCCCTCCACTGGCCTCCACTCAGTGTCCTCCACCCCTCTCTGCCAATCCCTCCACTGGCCTCCACTCAGTGTCCTCCACCCCTCTCTGCCAATCCCTCCACTGGCCTCCACTCAGTGTCCTCCACCCCTCTCTGCCAATCCCTCCACTGGCCTCCACTCAGTGTCCTCCACCCCTCTCTGCCAATCCCTCCACTGGCCTCCACTCGCCCAATGAATAAAATTCAAAATGACAACAACTTACAAAGCCATCCACAACTCTGCCCCCGGCTACATCACCAACCTGGTCTCAAAATATCAACAAAAACCGCTCGCCTCCAGGACTTCTCCCGAGCTTCTCCCACCCTATGGAACTCCCTACCCCCAATCTGTCCGACTATCTCCTAATCTACCCACCTTTAGACGATCCCTGAAAACTCTTCTCATTAAAGAAGCCTATCCTGCTTCTACCTAGTAAACTGCCATTTATTTCCTCCATCAGCCCCTCCCCCCCACAGCTACTACCTTTTGTATCACTCATCCCCTCCCCCTAGATTGTAAGCTCCCAGGATCAGGCCCTCTGCTTTTCCTCTTGTACCAAATCGTATTGCAACTGTACTGTCAGTCAACCGCATGCTGGCAGATGATTGGACGATGGAAGTCAGCGGAGTGTCTGCTCATGTACTAAGCTGTGGAGCGCCTGCACGTGCAGAGTACCCAGTCTATTGGCCTTTAGTACCTCCCCCCAGAGAGCAGTCAGCGGCTCACCTCTCTCCATCGGTGGATCTGATTTGTCGGACTTGGTAGCCGAAGAATCTGCTTCCATGGACTGAGAAGTTCCTTTTCTGGGGAGACGTCCACATTATACGCTGGAAGACATCCAGAAAGAAGAGATGGCGAGGAGCCTCTACAGACGGAGCCAGGGACACCTACCGCAAAGTACCTACCTTGTACCCACCACGACCAGCAGGGGCCAACACCATCCTACAGGGACCATCCTTGTACGTGCCTAGGGTGGGCAGAGAGAGAGAAAGGTGAGGAGAGAAAGAGTGGAGAGGGGGAGAGAGAGGAGAGGAGATGAGAGGGAGGAGAGACAGAGGCAGAGAGAAGAGAGGGAGAGGGAGAAGAGAGGGAGGAGGGGGAGAGAGAGAGGAGAGGAAGAGGAGGTCAGAGGAGAGGAGGGGGAAAAGAGAGAGAGAGAGAGGAGGAGAGAGAGAGGGAAGAGAGAGAGAGAGAGGGGGGAGGGGGGGGGAGGGGAGAGAGAGGGAGGGGGAGAGAGAGAGAGGGGGAGGGGGGAGAGAGAGGGGGAGGGGGAGAGGGTGAGGGAGGGAGGGGGAGAGAGAGAGAGAGAGGGGGGAGAGGGGGGGAGGAGAGGAGAGGGAGAAGAGAGAAGAGGGAGGGGGGGAGAGGAGGGGAGATAGAGATGAGAGAGAGGGGAGAGAGAGGGGGGGGGAGGAGGGGAGATAGATAGGAGGGGGGGGGGGAGGAGAGAGAGAGAGAGAGGAGTGAGAGAGAGGGGAGGAGAGGAGGGGAGGAGAGTGGGAGGGAGAGGAGGAGAGGAGATCAGAGAGGAGACGAAAGAGTGGGAGAGGAGAGGAGAGGAAAGGAGATGAGAGGGAGAAGAGGAGGGAGAGAGAGGGAGAGGAGAGGAGAGGAGAGAAGGGGAAAGTGAAGAGTAGATAGAAGAGATGGAGGGATGAAAGGAAAGGAGCTTCACCCTGCTCACTTGCCACTAATTAGAGAGGTAGGATGGGCAGACAGCCTCCTCACACGCTGAAAAAGAGACAGTCACTAAAGGACGGGAAAAGAGAGGGAGAGAGAGGGAGGAGAAGAGAGCGAGGAGTGATGAGAAGCACCTTGTGAAATGCTCGGAAGGAGATGAGCGCACTCACATCGAGATTCTGAAAATGTTGAAATGTGGGCAGGAAAAGGAAGCGGCTTGTCTGAGATGGTGGAGAGGAGGCTGAACCGTGGAAAGGAGCGCCACAAGTGTTTTGTGTGGGAAACAAGCTGTCACTTCTGAAAACATCACCACAAGCTTTCCATGTCACTGCCAGGGGCAGATACTGGGGGCAGATACCGGGGGTCAGATACTGGGGGGAGATACTGGGGGCAGATACCGCGGGGCATATACCCGCGGGGCAGATACCGGGGGTGAGGTGCACATTCAGGCCTGCCATCGGTTTCCAGGACTCAGGGAACCAATTCCATCCACCAAACTCTTGTAATAGTAATGATCGGTCTGGAATGTGACCTTCGTTCAGCCGGCATTGAAGGGCCAATAATGGGGAATGTTTATCAGCCATATCATTGAGGGATGGTGGCCTCTTCCATACCTTCCTAGGGAGGAGGTGGGGATAATGATGGGGGACTTATGGGATCTGAAAAACTCCTTTATAACAAGGGGGTGCCCAGGTATTCACCTCAGCTTGGACCAATGTAACTATGTATATTCAATACCTGGCCAATGGCCCTGGAAGCTGGAAATCACTGAATAGACATTGCTGCTACACGGCTACTACACGGCTACTACGGCCTACTACACCAAATAAGTATAAATCAGCACACATTATATATATAAAATCCTCAAAAATCCCTTAAAGTCATATCAATATCCTTCCCCTGAAGTACTAATAAAATATATATATTCATTGACTTAAACCCAAAAACCCACAATTATAGTGAAAAGATCAAAACCCAAAGAGATTACCCAAAAAATAAAAAATATCAAATATATATAAAAGAACAAACAAAAATAAATAAAGTCCCAATATACAAAGTGTCCAAATAATGTGTCCAAACAAAGATCAAATTCTTGATAGGAAGACGCTTCCTACTCCACTGAGAGAAGATGCAAATCAATGACAGGTGCTCTTCAAATACCTCAAAAAACAAAATCTCAACATAGTATATTACCTTTTAAATCCCAGAACTAAAGTGCCACACGTGTATCATGCAAAAAAAAAACACTCCAGTGTCACAGCACTCATGTGAGAGGAAAAAAAAAAATTATTTAAATTTTATAAATATCACTGCAAACTATATATAAAGTGCATAATTACCCTAAAACAAACACAAATTCCAGCTTGTAATCCACCACATATGTACAGAGTGTCCTTAGATTGGTGTCCTCTTGTTCCTCAGGACCTCACAAACAGACCAGGAATCAGTACAGTGGGGGAAAGTTTGGGCCCCCCAGCTAAAAATGTGTATTAATGTGCATAAAGAAGCCAAGGAAAGATGGAAAAATCTCCAAAAAAAGGCATCAAATTCCAGATTAGACATTCTTATAATATGTCAACAAAAGTTAGATTTTATTTCCATCATTTTACACTTTCAAAATAACAGAAAACAAAAAAATGGCGTCTGCAAAAGTTTGGGGCCCCTGCAGAGTTAATATCTTGTACTGCCCCCTTTGGCAAGTATCACGGCTTGTAAACGCTTTTTGTAGCCAGCCAAGAGTCTTTCAATTCTTGTTTGAGGTATCTTTGCCCATTCTTCCTTACAAAAGTCTTCCAGTTCTTTGAGATTTCTGGGCTGTCTGTCACGCACACGGCTCTTTTAAGGTCTATCCATAGATTTTCAATTGATGTTGAGGTCAGGAGATTGTGAAGGCCATGGCAAAACCTTCAGTTTAGCCTCTTGATGTAATCCCCCGTGGATTTCGAGGTGTGTTTAGGATCATTATCCATTTTGTAGAAGCCATCCTCTCTTTAACTTCAGCTTTTTCACAGATGGCATCAAGTTACCATCCAAAATTTGCTGAAATTTTATTGAATCCATTTTTCCTTCTACTCGTGAGATGTTCCCTGTGCCACTGGCTGCAACACAACCCCAAAGCATGATTGATCCAACCCCATGCTTCACAGTTGGACAGAGGTTCTTTTCATTAAATTCTGTGCCCCTTCTTCTCCAAACGTACCTTTGCTCATTCCGGCCAAAAAGTTCAATTTTATAACCTCATCGGTCCACAGAAACTTGTTTCCAAAATGCATCAGGCTTGTCTATATGTTCATTTGCAAAGTTCAAACGATGATTTTTGTGTGGTGAGGACGTAGAAGAGGTTTTTCTTCTGATGACTCTTCCATGAAGACCATATTTGTACAAGTATCTCTTTATAGTGGAATAGTGACCACAACTCCAGTGTCTGCCAGATCTTTCTGGAGGGATCGTGCAGTCAAACGTGGGTTTTGAATTGTTTTTCTCACAATCCTGCGAGCTGTTCTGTCTGATATTTTTCTTGGTCTTCCAGATCTTGCTTTAACTTCCACTGTTCCTGATGACTGCCATTTCTTAATACATTCCGAACAGAGGATATTGACATCTGAAAAACGCTTTGCTATCTTCTTATAGCCTTCTCCAGCTTTGTGAGCGTCAACTATTTTCAGTTTCAGTTTTCTAGACAACTGCTTAGAAGAACCCATGGTGCTGATTGTTGGGGCAAGGTCAGATGAGTCGGGGCATTTAAAACCTTTGAGATTTGGACATCACCTGGTCTTCCCAGACGATGATTGAGAACAATCCATGACACTGGCAGGTCTCAGCTTTGGCAAAGGGGGCAGTGCATGCTATAAATTCTGCAGGGGGCCCAAACTTTTGCAGACGCCATTTTTTGTGTTTTCTGTTATTTTGAAAGTGTAAATGATGGAAATAAAAATCTAACTTTTGTTGACATATTATAAGAATGTTAATCTGTAATTTGATGCCTTTTGGAGATTTTTCCATCTTTTCCTTGTCTTCTTTACTGCACATTAATACACATTTTTTAGCTGGGGTTATTTTTTATTTTTTGTTTTTTTTTTTTTTGTATTGAATTATTTTAATATTATATAAAATGTA